GTGTGTTTTACCGTGGTTTGGGCACGTGTTCCTCAGGCACAGGCGTCCACATCGAATCACTGTTCTTCTGCTCCTTAAATTTCCCATTAAACACTCGCTCAATGTCATCCAAATAAAACCCGCACACCGCTGAGCCGGGAATGCTGGGACACACAGACACAGACTGATCAAACATGTGGTGCGGTGTGTGTGTGTCACATTTTAACCGGTACAGTACCAACAAACTCTTCATCTTTTCACTGCAGAGGAAACAGAAGCTGCATCTGAAGTGGCATTAGATGTATTCACACAGACTGTTTAATGAAACCGTGGTGCCATAAATGCATTTACACCACAACATTTCAAATGCATAAATAATTTTGTAAGATTAATGTTTTAAATATTTTTGAACATACAAGTTAAAAATGTTGGGGAAAATGCAATACTTGTAAATATGAAACCAAACCACCAGTAGATGACGGTAAATGACTGCTTTAATGAGCGAGTCATTAGTCATTCATTCAAACGGCTGATTCATTCAGAATCGAGGCGTCTGCCTTTATGAAAGGGTTACTGAATCATTGACTCACTTGATTCGTTCAAAAAAGTGGATTCATTCAGAATCGAAAAACACTGCTGTGTTGCTCAGAGACACAAAACAGTTCTGCTGTGGCTTTGATTGAAACTTCGTCAGCGAACTTGAGCAAAAACGGTCAATATTGTATTACAACTTTGTAACTTTGTGTCTGCCTCACTCACAGTGAAGAACTTCTGCGCCAAGCTAGTGTGCATAGGCCATGAAGTTTTAACACATTAACACATTAATGGACCGGAGGTGATAATATGGTATTTTTTCCAGAAAACTTCTTGCACAAAATATATTCAAGCACTTTCAAGGATCTGTATCTATGCATGTTTATTTTCAAAAACTTTACAGGGCCTTGATTTAAAAAAAAAAAAAAAAATTCTTCATATAAACAAACTAAGCTCTTAACATTTAAAATTAGAGGCATCCATTGCATTTTAATCATGATCCAAACAAAGATGCAGCGTACGTGCAGCATGAGCAGTTTTTAATCTAAATTAGATTGTATAATTTCGAAATCTGAAGCAAAAACAGAATGGTCTGACTTTAGTTTTGTGAAACTATACTACATAAAACATCTGAAGGAAGCAGCCAATTCTGCCAGAAAACCGCAGACTTGGAAACTCTGCTTATGAAACTACAGTGTTTCCTTGGTTACCGCTGTAAGCAAAGCAGAGCTGCGCTTATGAACACTACTTTAATATGCATCGTTCAGAGGCAAGATGAAAAGAAAATACCACAAACTTTTTTAAAGACAGTCATTTGCCCTCAGAGATAATTCATATAAACTCCTGCTCCAACAGTATCGCGCGATTTGTTTGGCATCTCAACCGATTTGAATCGTCACATATTTGAATCAATTTGCAACCGGCTCATTGAAACTATACTACATAAAACATCTGAAGGAAGCAGCAGACGGGCTGAATGAGACGCAGATGCACTCTCTGACAGCAGGTGGCGCTCATGAACAGCAATGATACAGTGTTTCCTTGGTTACCGCTGTAAACAAAGCAGAGCTGCGCTTATGAACACTACTTTAATATGCATCGTTCAGAGGCAAGATGAAAAGAAAATACCACAAACTTTTTTAAAGACAGTCATTTGCCCTCAGAGATAATTCATATAAACTCCTGCTCCAACAGTATCGCGATTTGTTTGGCATCTCAACCGATTTGAATCGTCACGTATTTGAATCAATTTGCAACCGGCTCACGGTTCATCGTCACATCCCTAGTTATTAATTTAATGTGAATAGGTACTCTAAAAAGTACAGAGTTGGGTACCGAACCCTAGTGGTGACTGTGTACCTGTTGATCTGTGTGGTGAAGACTCCCACCACAGCGGGCCGCTGGTTGATCTGCAGCACGTTGGTGAGCGACTGCAGCACATCGAAGTAGAAGAACGTGTCTCCAGGAACCGAGCAGTTCAGGCGCGCCTTCAGAAATGACGTCCAGTGGCGATCCAACACCCGCGTGGAGCCGCCGCTGTCGTTCTTACACACGCGCGCCACGCGCGAATACACCACCTACACCACGAGGAGCAAGCAGGAATCACTAACTGATTTTATAACAGAACTGAATGTCTAAATCTTCTCACACACTCATCTTTTACCTTCCCAGCGCCGGTGTGCTCCACTGCGATCTCACTGAAGAAGAAATACACGTAGTTGCCGTATTCGACAGCATGCAGGAAGTGAGGCTCTGTAGAGACAACACAACACGGACAAGATAGCGTGTTGTTTTTCTTTTTTTTTTTTTAGAATGATGAAATATACAAAAATACTTTTGTTTGTAATTTAATGCAATTCCAGCTACCACTGTCATGTTGATGGCAAGAAAGCGGTTAAAAATGAGATAAATAGAATAAATAAATCTATTATAAAAGGCTGCTATCATGTTGAAAATCAACTGACTGTCATATAGTAAAAATCATTATTATGTGACCCTGGAGCACAAAAGCAGTCATAAGTAGCACGGGTATATTTGTAGCAATAGCCAACAATACATTGTAATCCTCTGCGTCTTCAGATGTCGGGAGTAAATGACGACTGCTATGTTCATTATTAGCAACAAAACACCTCAATCGCTTAAATCAGAGACATTCTTGTCTTCCCCTGCACTAGAGTCGACACAATGGTGGACTGATGACAGTCACTCAGGGCGGAGCTAAGGTAAGACGGACTTGCCAATCAACAATCGTGGGAGGGGCCTGTGCAGAACTACGTCACTCTGACAGGAATCTC